GACCACAGTTCACCTGAGCACATGGCCAACATGGAAACAGAAATAGGCAGATTTGAAAATGTAGATGTCTATTAGTAAAGCAGGAAATACAAGGGAGGGGGAAAAAAAGGGGAAAAGGAAGGAGAGAAAGTAGAAAGAGAAATAAAAAGAAGAGATAGAGAAACTAAAGAAAGGAAATGACAGATTAGGACATGATCACACAGAAAGAGGAAAATGGAATAGGAAAGTGAACGAGGGAATAGACAGGAAATGAAAACAGAAAATAGTAGGAAATATGAAATGCACATGAACATAACGATAGGGAAGAAGAGAAAAGACAATGAAAGATTAGGAAAGGAATTAAGGAAGAAAGGCAGAGGAAAGTAGATGGAAGGAAATGAAAGGAAAGGAAGAGACGAGGCAGAACTGAGAAAAATGGGACAGAAAGACAGGAAAAGGAAAGATCCAGACTAATAAATTAGAGGCCATTCACACAGATCTATAGAGACCTGTGTGTACGTCCTGTACTATGTGTGTGAGCGCATGCATATGTGACTATGTGAGCGTCAGTCATTGTGTGTGTGTGTGTGTGTGTGTGTGTGTGTGTGTGTGTGTGTGTGTGTGTGTGTGGCAGTGAGAGCAGGGCAGCCCTGAGTGTGGCTGTAGATTAATGGGGGCCATTATCTCAATGCCCAAAACACTCAGTGATGAAGAGTCACTGCCTGGCGACAGGCCGCGGCCAATCAATTTGCGGCGCAGCGGTCACCTGCCCGGGTCAGAGCCCACATACGGCGGCGTGCTTGTGCCGTTGTGATGTGTGGCGGGTGGGGGTGCGGTTGGCAAATTGCCAAGACACTGTGGTGAAAAAGGAAAACAAGAGATTTTCCATCTGGTTTGCATGATACAGGCGTTGTTTCACTCTGAACACGTTCCAATGCATGCAGTCGGTTTGGAAGAAGTTATCAAGTACATTCACTGGAGTATCATTTTGAGGTACTTCCATTTCATGCTTCCTTAAGGTTTATTTAACACTACTGATTCAAGCACCATTATCATCCACCACCTTTAAAGCTCCTGTGAAGAGTCTTTAGCTGGTTACAAAACTCAACACTGATGCCTCTCTGACTCCAAAAAGAAAACGGCATCATCAGCTACTTTTACTACCTGAAACTGCTAATGCTAACAAGCTAGTGAAGAAGTAATGGCGGAGGCATGTTCGCCTAGCTTAGCATTAAACTATTACTCAAGTTGAAACAGGTTGCCTAGTTCTGTCTAAATCTAATTTGTTTTAGCTTTAAAACTTTTTCCTGTTACCTTTTGGCAATACACGGTTAGCTTTCTTCCTTTGGTGATAGTCTCCATGCGAAGCTATGTTAACTGGTTGTTAGCACAGGCGTTAATCTCAGACATTTTTGTAAGTGTTATCAATCTTCTTGTTCAAGGCTGTACTCGACAATTCAGGTCTTTGGTGTTACCCTGAGGCCTGAAGATGCAAAGATCTTCTGTTTGCACTCTCTTACCATCTTCTTTAATACCTCCTCTTCCTCTCCTCTGCCCTCCATCTCAACAAAAGCCCTTTTCAAAGCTAAGTGAGGAGTGAGAAAAAAATTATTCTCCCCTTTGCTGGAAAATTGTGTCTTTGGAAGGATGCTCTTTCTCCTGGAGGACAGGTTCCCCATCATTACCTTGAGAGCTCAAAGATCACTCAAAGGAGAGGGCTCTGGGTTATTTATTTGCCTCACATGCCCAAACACACATGGGCATGTGCTCAGATAGTCTACACACAAATGCACACACATTAATGCTCATGGACAAACAGCAGAGAATCTTATTTTCTGGCATGGAAAATACCCCGGGGCTGTACGATGGAAGCCCTGTGAGGAGGATCCAAGAGGCTAATATAACAGAGAAGAACCGCGGTTAATCCTGTGAGCATTTCAACTCTGCAAGTTTAAGGTTGTGTGGTCTGCAAAACACATGCTGTTACATGGACTCCCTGCTATAACTGTATCAGTGGGAGGTGGAATCAAATTAAAAGAAACTGATTCATGAACAATTCAGCAATCTTAAATTCTTGGGTCGTGTTTTATTCAGCTAGTTTTTTAGTCATTCTAGCAACACGGCTCTAGGGCAGGCAATGCGAGTCTATAGCTCGGACTATCCTCCACATTGAGGCCAACTGACATATCTCATTAATATTCATCAAATTCACACAGCTGCCAAGTGCCTTGAACATCAAGTCAAAGTGGGAAACTCAAAAGCTGCTATAGTGGGCTATGTATCAGGTTGCAAGTAGTTGCAACCCGTGGTTTTTAATTGATCAGCAACTAAGGAGCAGCATTGGACCACCCATACAGTATAGGGCTAAATCCCACCATAAGAAGAATTATCCCACACAAGTCATTATGCAATTGATAACAGCATTTTAGCCTTCCACTCTGTGTTGATGGGTTAGACCAATGGCGCCCATGTTTGAATTTTACACTGACATTAATTCAAATTGAATGTATTGAGTACAAGAGCTCTTTTCTGACACAAATAAAGTCATTTAAATGATACACTGAGATTGACTTTGTAACATAAGTATTCCTACATTATTTCTCTTATCAATTTTCAAACCATGACCCTGCATAAGCCCCAGGCGCTGAGGGTCTAACCGGCACCCAGGTGGCTTCTACTTATTGTTGACAGACCTGGAACCAATAATGGAAATGACAGCTCCTTTAAAGGCTAATAGGAACCCACGAAACCCTATTGATTCCACCAAATTGGTTCACTAATTCGCTCTGTAAAAACTAATTATCATTCTATGATTTCCAATCAGTCAGTCAAGCTCCTTCATCTTCGTTTTACATCAAGAATACGCAAAACTGAATCGGGGTTATTGCAATCAATCAGAACAAACCTCTTGACTGAATTGGGTATCATAGTGTTGGGCATGTCGAGGACAGTTGTGAGTAATTTCTCTTGCTTTTCCTCACTTAAAGAAACCACCAAGAAACTGACCCCCCCCCCCCCCAGCTGCCACAGGTGAAATCGAATCCAATTACGGCAATAAGTACCTGCTTAAGTAACCTGTTCCTGAAGCTCTTGGGAATCATCCATCATGAGGGGCAAAAGGGTTAAGCCCTACCACACCAACCCATGAATCCAGAGCTCTCTTCGCTGACTTAGATGGATGAAACCAAAGAATATATTACCTTAACGATGGCCAGCACAAATCAATTCTGATAGTCCTTCAGAAAGACGAAGGTATCTGAAGAATGGTTTGGGAAACGGCCTTAAGCACAGCAGGTAATTGAACATAGATTTGATAGGTGTACTGTCTAATAATGGTCACAGTCTAGTTTGTAAGCGGGGTAATGGCAACATTAGCATGGCAACTCAATTACAACCGCTGGCAAAGACAGTGACAGCCTTCACTGGAGATGTAGAGAGGACATGCAAAGCTCTGGGTACCCTTGTTGACTTCTTTATGGAAGACTATAGGATCTTTGCACCAACTATCTTGGTTGATTAACTTATTAAAGTGACATTTAGTGCTTTTAGCAAAACCAAGAGATATGAAGCTTAAAGCGAGGATGCCGTTTTTTTATTCCGAAGCAATAGGTGGTTATATTCAAGTAACACCTAAAGCTGTGTTATTTTAGTAATAGTGGCAATGCTTGACTAGTTCATATGAACGTATGACATCAAGATAGTAAATCAAGATATGAAGCAACTTTGAATTGTGTTGCAATTCCTGGGTTTTTCTTGAAATATTGCCTGCAGTGAAGGCATATTAGCAAACTTGGATGGCATAAAAATCCACTCTTTTAACAGTTTTCTTTTTGTTGTTATCAGTGCCAGTAGTAAATCAGCCTTTTGTCAGATCATCTTTTGCTGCTACAGCTTCCAGAGCTGATGGGTTGATGCCTCTGTATCACAGCAGATGTCTGCCGGCACAGCATGTCATAGCAAGCCCTGGCACCCTACTGTCACCCTAGCGTTGCAACTCGGAGAAGTTCAATCTCACCCAGCAGTTACACGATCAAGCAGCATGTCTGCTTCGACTTAATTTGCAAACAAAACACAAATGTTCTTTGGGTAAGCAAATGTACACATGATATTTCAAGCCTTACTGCTGTTTCATCTGTTCAGAGTGCAGATTGTGTTGGGTAGCAGAGAACGGCACTATTATTCATTCATCATGTCGCACTTCTTATGTCAAACAGTCCTGGGACTTTTTACCAGCAGTGGTTTGAAAAAGGCCTAACTAGAATTGCAATGTACAATAAGTAAGGGATAAAGCTTGACAAGGCATCATCAGGAGTTCACAGACCAGATGGAGGCCAAGAAGGCCGGCTTGGGGGTATAACTAATAACTGAAAAATCCATTACTCTCCCATAAGGTCCTAAAGCAATGGAAGCCATGCTCACAGCTTCACCGGGGGCTTAGCCACAACTTAGCCACATCAGAAAAAAAATCTAGTCTGCTTCACTTATAGAACTCTTTGGCTAAGCTATTAGCCGTAAAGCTAAAGTTATGCAAGTTCAAAAGCCATTTACTTTTGGTACAGTTCAAGTACAGTAAATGTAATTGGACAGCATGTTTGACACTTAGTCTAGCAAGCTAACCAGCCATGTCATTGTCCCAAACTCAACATCAACATTTTCATGAACAAGTGTTGTGCTCTGAGTCCCTGTTGCAAAGGTCACACATTCATGACTGATAACAACTCAAATGACTTTGGTTATCAGAAAACAACTGACACCCAAAAGCCAATCATAATTAAGCCGCAATTCATTCCACAGTTTATTTTGATGTTTGATCTTTTTTTGGTGCAACACTAGATTTAGAAACCCTCAAAATGTCACCATCCTTCACATGCTGGCTTCAGACAAAAGCTGCGTCTCTAATAAACACAACCCATAAAATCCATTACAGCACCTCACACCTGCCAACATATTAGTACAGGCATACACAACATACAGCAGTACAAACAGATGTCATCCTCTTTAACTTGATTGTTTCCACTTACCTTGGCGATTTGGACACACCAGTTGAGCAGCAGCTGCGATCCAATGTTGTCCTTGTGCTCGTGCACATAGTCAAGCAGGCAGCCGTGGGGCATGAGCTGGGTGACCAGCTGGATGGTCGGACTCAGGCAGACACCCAGGAGACGAACCAGGTGGGGGTGCTCCACGCTGGCCATGATCAGGGCCTCCTGGGTGAGAGGGGGGGGAAGAGGGACAAAGATGGACTAAGAAGATTGTTTCTTCTAGGAATGTTCCAGCCTCTTCCTTTTACCAATAAGAACATATTTTTGCTACTGGAAATGATTCTTGTTCTCTAATTTGTGATCAAGAATTCTCTCTCAATGCTATTCCCTGCACAGACCTACTTCACCGGGGATCTATTATTAACAGCAAATACTGGAGTAGAAAGTGATGTGACACCGTGCAGAACCAGCCAGAGTGGAATGTCAATATACCTAAAGATTAAGATCCATCAGTTGTCATGGTGGTGTGCTCTAAATATTTGGTACCATTGAACCTCAGCCACTGTTGCTATGGAAAAGAAGGCGGTTCACGGACAAAATTAAGGCTGTAGTGATTGAAAATCTGCTGTGATGACCCAGACTGGGAAATGTTACTTCTTTGTCAATGTTTTCATGTTGGAAGGACCTAGATGGTGAGTGGTAAATGGATTGTACTCATATCACACTTTTCTAGTCTTCTGATCACTCAGAGCGCTTTTATATCACACCCACCCACTCTCATACATATTTACACACTGATGCTACGTAAAGTGCACATCAGTATTGACTAATCCCATTCACATCCTGCTGGCTATGCACTCTAGGTTTCAATGTTTTGTCCAAGGAAACTTCAACATGTGTAGTGCAGGAGTTGGTATTGAATCAGAAACTTCACAGTCGAGGGAAAATTACTCGCCCCTAGAACACAAAACATTCCAACACTGGCATTGAGGATTTGTACTGATGAGTCAACCTTCAGGAATTCAGTCCTATCCAAGCGGTAGTGTACAAACAATGAGTCATGAGTCTGTAGAAGGGATACATCCAGTTTATACTGTTGGAACCAGGGGCAACTAATCTAATTAAAATACCAGCCAACAAATAACATGATGCAGATAAAGATGAAAACTAAACTTCCTCTATCTAATTAGTTAGTTTGAATATGTTCTCAACAAGACTCTGATTTCATTGGATATGAAGAATATGTGGCATCATGTGGCCAGTTCATGAACTGCTTTAGTTAAAGGACAGTAACTCTAAAGAGGCACTTATTCGGGGTCATGTTTGCTTGCTGTCCTTTTATTTATTTTATTTTTTTGAAGCTATAACTTTGATTGTTGCAATCTGTGTGGTCTATTTTGTTCTTGACTTCTAATGGCTTGCCCAAACTTTGGAATTTAATTTCCCAAAAGAATCAAGAATCTGGAAAGAAGAAGAAGTTGGTAAACTCAAAATGAAGTTTAAAAAACTCTTACTCAGGATTGTTTGATAGGTTGTTGGCAGTAATGGTGATCAGTGGCTCCCAGACTTATTGGCCGGTTTAATATTAATGCACAAAGACGTGCAGAATCCATTACTTCAGAATACCACAAAAGAGATAAATCTTCTGGGATTTCGTCATGGGGTCTCTATGGGTTCTGATTCCAAGGTTAAGAAGGATTGGTGCCAATTTTCCCCTCATGAAGAAGTAATAGGCTCTAATTTTAAGAAAGAATTCATTGAGTCTGTCCATGCATCTATTATCCATGGCTAATGCTGCATTGTATTCCAAAGACTTCCTTCTGGAGGTGGAGTTGGATGCATAAATTAAGACTTGTGGGCTGATGACTACATCTGCATGCGCAGCATCTGTCCACAGAGTATTCACACCGAGCGAGAAAATCCTACAGAAACCTTCTTCAAAGCTGCAGCCTTTCTCATCTATATTTCAACATGTATAGTGCACAGAGGTTCTCACACTGTAAATGTTGCACCGACACAATTAAAACACCCCAATGACGCCGGGTGCTGCCTGTGTGTTTGATTTCATACACTACTTCTGCTTGATACTGCGTGTAATTCATTTCAAGCCTTCCCTCTCATCTCTCTCATTTCTGTCTGCAGCAGATGGACGTAGAGGTTTGAACAGTTGGGACTCGACGTTGGGTAATTGTTATTGCGGAGCTGCAAGCAGAAGGATGTGTGCTGGTGATGAAGTGTTATGATGGTGAGGGCTGATACTCGTGGCCCGGCGTGTATGTGCATTATGGCTGAGCAGAAGCTGCACTCAGAGTCATCGCTTAAAAACACTCACTTCAGTCCTTCTCCGAGTCTCCTATTGCCGCTCTCTTGCTCAGTCGCACACTCTCACATGCGGACACGCTCTCTTGGCAGCTCTCTAAAACACTCGCACACTCAAGGACACACACGCTCTGTCGCTGTGTCTGCACACGCCAAATGGTCGAGGAGGTGTATATCCAGGCTTGGCCCTGGGGCAGCTGATAGATAGATGAGGTGCCTTTTTAAATTTAGATGCTAAGGAATGAGCTTGGAGCGAGAGTGGTGGTGTGTGAGTGTGAGTAGATTAATTCTAAACCGGAGAGGGGCTACAGGCCATAGAGAGCCTTTTGGCATCATCAGTGCCCTGATTTAAACACAACCTCCTGGCCAAAAGTAGTGACACTACATCTCTGCTTCATAAAACCACCTGCTGCCCGCCCTAACAGCCCGACATCATAAGACTCAAGTCACCTCTACAACTGGCATACCCATCGACTGTATTAATAGTGGGTGTAGCCACTGTGATGTCACTCATTTGTTTGTCCTCTGCCGTTTTGAAATCTCAAACCTGGCATTTGGACGTTGCCACGATAGTTTTCTTGGGCCAGAAGGGACCACATTTGGACGAGAGAGCGGACATGAAAAGGAGCAACGGGCTAACTAATTAGCTCGCTGATCACGAGTTTCCCACAGAATGGGACATGTTGATTTGAAGCTGAGCCGAATTGGTAATTCTGAAAAAGCTTAGAGAATGTTTTGAATGCAGTGGGCTAATAAGTAAGGTCACTGTATGAAAAACACTGAACAAGCTGAACAGCTAGGTATGGTAAAAGGAGATATCGACACTTGCTAATTATTGCTAACATATCAACCAAGCGAAAAGCTAGAGCACAGACTTCTTGAATGGTTTGTGTTTGGATCGTATCTGGTGCATACGACACAAACACAGCAGACACTTGAAGTTCGGAGACTAGATTGGCTGAGGCCACAGCTAGCAATCAGCTAGCAGCCGCCATCTTTCACTAAAATGACCATTGCCCATAATGATTCACAAATTCAGGCTTATATTTAAACAAATGAATGACTTGTATAATCAATTCAAAAGCAATTTAGCCATAATGACTAAAATCTTTTTTATCATGCTGGTAACATTTATTGCTGTTGTAAAGTTTTAAAATGTGGACTTATGGGGGTGGACTACCTTATGGAGCAAGCCTCTAGTGGGTACTTGAGGAACTGCACTCTTTTTTAAAAACTTCCATGTTGACTTTATTTCTCAGCCTCTGAGGTTGCCAACAGGGTATAAATCAGACCTCAGGATCAAAAAGTGAAGGAAGAAAGGGGAGAGTAAAGGGGGACACCTGCGTGTGTGTAACAGGAAGAAGGAGAGAGAGTTTTTCTTCTCACTGTGTGATCCCAAAAGACGCGGGAGTCGTAAACTACGTCGGGCTAAACTCTTGCCCCTGCTTTCTACTCTATGAGGTCTTGTGTGTGGGTGTAAATGTGTGTTTGTGCGTGTGTGCGTGAACATGTGGAAGTGTGTGTGTGTTTTCTCTCATCTCCCTGAGCGCTGACCTCCATTACTGCTGCCTGACCCTCCTTTCCCAACTCGCTCACTTGCTCACTTCCCCTTTACACACACACACACACACACACACACACACACACACACACACACACACACACACACACACACACACACACACACACACACACACACACACACACACACACACACACACACACACACACACACACACACACACAGGGTGATAGACTGGAGTTAGAAGTGAAACTGGTGCATGTTCCAGCGTGTGTGTGTGTGTGTGTGTGTGTGTGTGTGTGTGTGTGTGTGTGTGTGTGTGTGTGTGTGTGTGTGTGTGTGTGTGTTTTTGGAAGTGTGTGTATGCATGAAAACACACTAAGTTAGCGCTCTCCATTTGGGCTTTTGCATATCAAGTAATCAACCCGCTCATTGAAATTCACATATTTGCCAACACAAGCAAATCACCCTGCAGTTATCGTATGTGAGGTCGCTGCCACCTGGGGAGGCTTTCGTTGGGCTCACTGGATACGTATGTGTGTGTGTGTGTGTGTGTGTGTGTGTGTGTGTGTGTGTGTGTGTGTGTGTGTGTGTGTGTGTGTGTGTGTGTGTGTGTGTGCACTTTCAGAGTGTGTTTGGAGCTGGCACTCCAGTGGCTAGTTTCCCAGTGGCAAGGCGTGAGCCTGCCTTTAGATTGCTGTTTAACAAGCCGGCAGACAGAGCATATTGGCTCTGGATGGACAGAGACTCCCGCTGGGAGGAACAGGGATAGAGGAAGAGAGGGGAAGGAGGTAGTGGTGGTGGTGGTGGGGGCAGAGGAGGAGGGGAAAGAAATGGGCATAAAGGGAAATATATGGGGAAACTTGACCATTTTACATGATGTTTCTCGCTTGAGGAGGAAAAATGGCAATCGGTCTGAGAAGCATTTTCTCAGGAGAGTTTGGCATTTCTAATCACCACTTTCGGCGGTCACTGGTGTTACACATAAGTGAAGAACATAAATGTAACATGAGAACTGGATATTGAACTCCAAGATGGAGGACGCTGATTCCAATAAAAGTTGGTTTTCCAGCATACATGCCCGCATTCTGTTGTTGTTCTTGGTTTGCTTTAAAACACATTAGCAGTCATGTATCTTCTTGTTGCACTGTGGATGTTGTCAACAACGCCCTGAGTGTGACATCACATGAACCTGCCTGCCACGGGAAAATGTCTTCTCTGGGTGTTTTTGCTTAAAAATTACACCAACAATTTACAATAATGGGGATTCTTTTTCAGAAAAAACTGTTTATATAATTTGAGTAGTTCGACTCTCTTAAAAGTAAAGAAAAACCAACTGGCTGACTCTGAAGAACAAGAAGTTCCTACCACCTACCGCCCGTCTTTCCTTCTGCAGGTGCTGTTGAAATCGTGTGCAAAAAAGGAGACAGGATGAAAGTCCTGGCCATAAGTAAAGAGTTGTATTGGAGGTGTGTGGGAAGAAGGATGGTTAAGAGAAAGAAGAAGGTGACAGAGATAAGGTGGGAAAGAATTGGAAACTCTCCAGCTTACTCCTTTCCTCCTCTTCTTGTCCCCTCTATCACGCGTGGATTTCCAATAAAGCCATACCTCATAAACAAGTCCTGTTTTTTAATAGAGTCTCGTTCAATACATGCCTGGCTGTACAACGCTTCACTTTATTACCGCCTCGCACTGAGACGCTGCTCTCATAAGAATTTACCGCCGAATGCACAATCCCACAAAGTGACGGACTGGGCCGCCTCTCTGACAAGGCTGAGGGTTTACAGCTCGAGCACACACACACACACACACACACACACACACACACACACACACACACACAGGGGTGAAAGTAGACACAAACTGTCACCATATAAATACTCACGTCCATGAACTCCACGTTGGCCTTCGGACCGGTGGTCTCGTTGAGGATTTTAATAGCCACGGGGATCTTCACCGTCTCACCTTCTGGGACCCAGATGCCCTGAAATATACAGGCAATCACCATAAATGCAGCATCTCAATAAACATGAACACAGGCAGCCAGAGCCCTGATCGTATTGATGCCTGTCTTTAACGGTGTCTGCTGTCCTTTGAAAATACCCCTGCAGGTCTGATTTGACTAAATCAACACTTACACATGCATGAACCTCCTCTTTGCGGTCAAATCTTAATTCTCATGACGCGTTGTGTTTTACACTGTAAAAAATGTTTCCGTTATCTTAAAGCAGAACCCTATTTCTTCTCCATATTTTGGAGTCTAAATGACTGATAGGTAGTTCAAATATTGAAATCCCTCCAGTCTCCAGACTTGATGGTGACAACATGCTGACTGGCAGGTGTATTTGTGTTCCTCTTATAGTAACTTAAAAGTCGATTTAATATTTTGTATCAACTTTAAATCGACACATCATTTTTTAAGAGGGAATCTTGTCGCAAAATGTTTGGAAAGTGTCGAGCGATTGATAAAGTAACATTTTGAGTAATTCAATTGAAGTTTAGCAAAGGGAGTGGAGAATGTGTATGCATGCGAGAAGAGCCCCTGCTTGGTCGCAAAGGAAACCCTGTTGCTGTGAAAAGTGCAGCCATATTTGTTTTGACTCTAGATTCAAACTGGACACATGTTCAGTGATGTTTAGCACTGTAATCTGTTAAGTAGCTCATGCTTTGAGCACTTCAGAGTATTTTGAAAGTATTAAAAAGTATTTGTTGAGTTTAAGCAACTAAAAAAATTTGATCAATGTTTTAAGATTCTGTGTGTAATTTCTATTTTGGTGATGACAAACTTACCTTATAGACTGTTCCAAACGCCCCTGATCCCAGGATCTTCACCCTCTTCAGCTCCGTCTCTTTGAGGATCCTCAGCTGGGCCTGGTTGGGGGCCGTTCCACTGGGGGTCAGGGGCTCCACCAGCTGAAAACACACACACACACACACACACACATTTTGATTTGAGACTATATATCCAATTCCTCGAGTCTGTTTTTATGCGAGAAAACATAAAGAAAAGCTTCCTTCCCGGGTTTTGTTTTGACAACCTGAAGCGTGCCTTTCTTTTCGCTGCGAGTCAAAACATTTTTAACCTCTCTTGCTTCTGGCGCTCTGAATGCTAAAAACGTTTCTTAAAGAGTGTGCAGCAGGGTGAGACGGCTCCAGTTAGAGCCATAAGTAAAAAGCAAGTCTTGGAAAAGAGGAGTGAAAGGTGAACACTGGAGGTTTATTTGCAGCAAATAAAACAAGCAGCCAAAAAAACAGCCGCTGCCCCGTCCTGATAGAGACAAATTCTGCACTACACATGAAATACAAATAATTCAAGGGTGTGAACGTGAAGTTCTGTCAGAGCTGGCACTTACCAATGTGGGCCGCGGCAGGCCCACCGCTAAACAAATCACAGTCTGGTGTCGGGCCGCTATCACCGCCCGACAAAGAGTAGCAGCTCACCAGCTGTGCACATAGAAAACAATTCCAATTCAAGGTTATGACAAGCCTCCTCCGCTCTGCCGCGCTGCCAGGAACAGCTGACACTGAGCGGCGTCCCAGCAGCTGGCCGGGGCCACCCGCCTCAGCGCTCAGCAAAGCCGCGGATACTAAATATAAAGAGCAGGAGCTGGCACCTGTAACCGAGCCGTGAAGAGATCTGAGCTGGAGGGAGGGAGCAGCTGCACACATGCAAATACACACACACACACACATATGTATATGATGTGCAAATTCAACAATCAGAGATGAATAATGTGTAGAGCTGATCAACGGTAAGAAGAGTTATCACCAAACATCACCTCCTGATTACTCTCCTGTTCCTTTATTTAGTTGTATTTTCATATTCCTACAGGCTCTGGGGGGACAACAAACCTCCTCCAGTCATTGACATAGTTCCATCATTTGACCTTTTCTTTGAATTTGAAATCAAAATGGGTTCGTTCCAACGTCCAACTTGACTTTCAACATAAAGATTAGAAGCCTTTGTCTGTCTAAATACTCCTTTTAGACTCTTCCTTTGACAAAAGATTTAGAGACGTGCACTTTTTATTCATCAAGCATTAAAGAAAAACAACCCTGATGTAAAGACACGTCAAAAACACGACGTACAGTATCATACCAAAGTGTAAGTGATTTGTTTTTTTCCCACCTCTGTCATCCAGGTAGCATCTTAGAACCCTAACACCAGCATAAATATTGACACCTTCAACACCTCCACACACACACACACAGTCAATGCCTCTGATCAATACTCGTCTTAATGAGCCTATCAGCCTATCGGGTCGCTCGTCCGCCGCGGTTTATCAGCGGCATAATCACCCCGCTCGACCACCGCCATCAAACAATATAATGAGACCGTATATCAGTCGGTCAGCCGCACACGCTCGTACTTAACGTGATATAAAAACCATCAGCACAATATGAGGCGGCGTCCAAGGATGGATGACAATGCCCGCAGCTCGGCAATGACATGTCGTTTAGTGGCGATTGCTGTGGCCGGGGCCTGGGGAGGGGGGGGGGGGGGGGGGTGGAGTTAGGAGCCTGTTGAGATGTCACGGCAGGAAGTGGGCGAGCAGACGGAGAAAGGAGGGGGGGAGGAGGGGATGAGTGATGAACAGTGATGAGGATGAGAGAGGGGGGGGGGAAGGGTTGAGCAGAAGTGGCTTTCATCAACTTAAACTGTTTACAACGTTCTTCATCTTTGGCGAATCCGCTTCTTCAAGGCCAGGGGCGTGGCTTTATGAGATTTGATGGCATCGAGCCAAACAAGCTTAAAAACTGATTTCTGATTAGTGCACAAGACCACCATTTTCCAATTAAGCCCCACCCACTTAAAACCAACAAGTGAATCGAACTGGCACCAGGTTCCAAACCAAGTGTTTACAGACTGAGCTACTGCCGCCCCTAAATTAACTTAATAAACTCTTAGTTCAGGGTTTAGATTCTGGCGTACATCACACCCCTGCTGAGAAGGTGCACAGGAAGGACTCGCTGTCTGCAAACAGAAACTTGCTTCAGAAGTTGAAACATTGCATCAGTAACATTTTTTTTTTTCACATCTCAATGTACAAACAGACTCTCCTCTTTTTTCTTCATTTTTGAAAAAGGCAGATGGTGTTTAGACCTTCCTTTGAAAAGGCATCAAAACATTCAGTTAGCTTCTTTTAAAGGCAGGTCGACCACGGCCGAGAAGGAGATTTGTATACGGAGTGTAAACCAATGACTCTGGACGTTATTTAATTAAAAACGAAGGACGGGCTTGGGTCACATCCATCACATGAGCCTGGTGTTTGGGCAAAGTTCTGCTTGTGTGTGTGTATCCACAGAATGAACGGAGGGGACAAAAACAGCGGAAGAGGAGAGAAATGGAGCGATTCAAGAGGAGAGGGAGCGCGGGGAGCAGCGGTGCTAAGAGCAGATGGTGACTGGCTGTAGCTGTTATTGTTTCATTAAGACTCGGCTGGACCTGGACTGATGAGGAGAGAAGTCTATTAAATCACACACACACACACACACACACACACACACACTCCTACACTCTCCTGGGCTCAGTCTCGCTCACACACACTCGCCATGCCACTCTATTTACCCGCTAATAATGCACCATGCCGCCGCACAAATGAGCTTCACTGGCGGCGCGGCAGAGAGGATTCGGATGCTTCATTGGACAAATAAGCAGCATGTTTGAGCCCCGAGCTGGAATACATTCATGGAATTATTCTGGATTGAATAAGTAAACATTGTCGTCAAACACAAGACTTGCTCTGCGGACCCTCGGGTAAAGGCTTTAATGTTCACATTACCCTGAATCAAACGCTACATTTGCTACGTGCTGTAATAGGAATACGGTGAAAAAATAGCCACAGACGTTTGCACAAACCAAGGCCATTTGTTTGAGCTTTGACATCTTGATTACACTTTCTGCTTCTTCTCCAGAAATCAACCTGAGAAAGGAGGATTTTTTTTTCAAGTTTAAAATGGTATAAAACGGCTAATGAGGTTCGCTTTGTCTTGAAGACACACAAGGTAAAAAGCGGGACAGATGTGGCATCAGAGTTAGCTCCTAAAATACAGCCTCTCCGGTCATGAATTTAATATCACAACAGTGATTAAACTATAAGGCTGAACAGACTGGCTGCAGGCGTTAGACACCACAAAACACGCTGCTGACTCCATCTCATTTCACATCTTTGTTGCTCCAGAATTTGGAGTATGTGGATGGCAAAATAAAATAAAAAAAAGTGAAACCTTCAGGAAAAACAAAGTCCCCTAAGGTGTTGGAAAAGATATAATAAGAAAGAATAAAGAATAAAACAAGATTTGGACATCATTTAAAAGTCATGACATTAGCCTGATTTAAAACTGAAATTATGGGGCAAAATAGAAATTATTTCAAAATAAAAGACCTCCTTTTTTTTTTAGGCACAACTTTAATGCAAGATGTTTCTTCTGACACCTCTTTGATTCTTCATGACATATCAGGTGTCCTTTAAATCACCGTGAATTCGATATAACTTTCACATCAGGTTCAGTGTATTTGAACAACCCCTCTCTGCACTACATGCATTTAAAATGACATCTCGTGCCTGTGTTAGGCCAGCCCGCCCCCCGGGGGCTGAACAACAGGAGCTGTCCAGCGTCCCTGAATGCTGAAATCCTCCTTGTTCACAGCGTGTGAGCAGCATGGGAGCTGTCCGCAGCCCATGGTGCTGAAACGCTCACATGGCCCTGTTTGTATGTATGAGTACAAAGCAGCTGGAAGAGGACCTAGGAGGGGGAAAAAAAAGTAGAAGGGGGCGATTCCAAGTGCATTAGTCTGGCTTCATTGGACTGGGGTCAAGGGTCAAGGCCTAGGGGTCCTAGGGAGGGAAAGGGGGGGGGGGTTGCTCTGGCTGTTTGTGCCGTCTCTCTCTGAGAAAAAGCAATTTGTTGTCAAAAGCGAACACAGTGTGAAACTTTTTTCTCAGTCCTTATATGTCTTCCAAGGTGAGGAAAAAAAAAGACAGGGATAAAAAGACGGAAGAGTAAAGTGTGTTTGATAAAAAAAAAAGAAAAAACAGAAGGTGAAGACACAAGAAAAGACAGAAAAAAGTCTTACAAAGGAAATGATAAAGAGGTGTGTTTTACGAGTCAGCGCAGCGCAGCAGCCTCCACACGTGTCCTTGATATGGAAATGCCGTCTGAGTGCTCGGTTCACGTTCTGACAGCATGCGCCAAAGGCTTCTTCCCCCCCCCCCCCCCCGTCTGACACCCAAAGGTGAGTGCTTTGTTTGAATAGACTAAAAAAGACAGCACAGAGAGACAGAGAGAGGGAGTCCCAGAGTTTTTGCCGTCCCCAAAATCCCTCATCCTGACAAGCCTGATCTTCATTCACAGACTCAGACTCAGCTCTATTGTTCGTTTCAATAGAGAATCCACGTTCACCCAGCCTGTCCAAAAAGCCTATCATGTGCTTTCATCAGACGGGAAAAAAAAAAAAGAAAGAGAGAAAACCTTTTGGAAGGTGTGATTCAGACTGCAAGGAGTGTACAGTTTTTTTTTTTTAGTATGCTGGGAAGGAAGAGTATTGAAATGGAAAGTGAACAGAAGGAGGAGTGTCTGTGTGAATGCACAAAACCTTATATTAAAATTTAAACACCAGTACCGACTCCTTAGGGAAACGAGCTGGAGAATCAGGCTCCATCCAGGCCACAGACTGTATACTGGAAGCGGACATAGCTTTGTTTTTCAATCGTCAAACCAATGTGAAAGCAAGCAGATTTTGAAAGTGGTCGAACGTCTTGTTGAATTTGATTCATGTCCCCAGGTTATATTTTACTCACAACAATGAATGGTCCAATAGCTAGCTTAAAGAAACCCCTTCATTTTACCTTCAGATCGCTTCTTCACTTCCCCGCAGAAACAATTCATATATCTCTCTCTGCTAATGCTCTCACACAGAATGAGCTACAAAGCCTGAGCAGGTTCAGTGTCACGATCCGGACACTACAAGGCCGCTAATGTGCATGCACACTGTTCGTTGTGGGGCCTGAACCCCTGACCTCCTCTTAATGGGTGGTCTGTCCAAAACCTGGGGCCAACCTGTGACTGTTAAAGATTTGATTATGTCTAATTACTTTTACACCCAATTAGGTCTCCTCGGAGGCTCGGGGAAATTGACTCGGTTGGCTTCATTTCACGTTTGGCTTTGCAGGAGGATGAATCAGCCACAGGATTGCTTCACACTGGGAGGTACAAAGAGGTCAACAAGATCCCCCTCCATCCCGCTCCTCCCCAGCCCCTCCTCGTCTGTGACAGTACATTAGCGAATCTGCTTGGACTGAAGACTTCCCTCCCGGTCAAGACGCTGTCGGAACAGGGCCGGCGTGATTAAGATGGATGTGTGCGGCTTGGCTGAGGCAGAAACTGCCCATGGCTGCCCAACTCAAGATTCCTCCTCTCTCGCCTGACAGCTGTCTATAACACTGTCGCCTCCACCTGTAAATTATACTAATGCAGACTGACAAGCAGCCTGCCGCGCTCCTATAGGCAAGGCCACTCAGCGGACCTGCAGGGGTAACAGCACTGCTGGGCCACACACAGGAGGAACGCCGGGAAGGGGGAATGACTTGTAAAAGCACAAAGGCGATCAAGCGGGGCAATGGCAACACATAAACCCTGCACTCACCTCCAACTCAGTCTCCGACTTTCTCTTCTGAACATAAAGTCTGATTTTGCTGTCTTGTGTTTACCAGAAATAAAGTTTATTCAAGGCCAGATCGATGGGTGATGGCAGTCATTGCATAATCTTGAAATCTAGGCAAAGTACTAGCGCCAAGGCTAAAAAGTGCACTTGAAAAACGTGAAAAAAAAAACTAACCAAAACCAAAACTAAGTGAATACGCGTCCTTCAAATACAGGAAAAACATTCATGAGTCCATTTTAAGTGTGTATAGACAAGCTTGTTGTTAGTTAGAGGAAGTGTTTCTTATTTTCCTTTTTGGAATAAGCCTAAAGCATTTGAAGTCATTTCCCAATGTTCATAGAGTTTTTAGTTTGAATCAATAAATAAAAGTATCTCAAGCAAACTCAGAGAAAACCCAACAGCACCAAAAACCCAAACAAAAGTCCCATTCGAGTGTCTGGTTGAGCTTAAATCAGGACTTTTGCTCAATGAAATAAGAGTGACCAACCAAAAACGATAATATGCAAGATCTATGTGGTGCCTTTTAGAGCTCATTGATTGAGTTTGATTAATGACAATTTGCCAAATGAAGAGTAAAATAGAGGAAATGCTCTCAAATTGCCAGCTTTGGATCAATGAAACTCATTATTCTGCGCTAATTGGTTGATGATAAATGGACAATAATGTATGTAGTTGACTGAAGTTACAATCTACAATATTATATCCTCAAAACAACAGTGAAAGGCAACCAGTAGAATACTCTCAGCATCTTCTACAAGCGGTCCCTGTGGATCCATCGATCCAAACAACTCAGTCTTTCATGTTGCTGTCCTGACCCCTAACCTCTCACCTCCGTCTCAAGGAAGCGCCGCAGGGCCCTCTTCTTCTTGATGCTCTTGCGTCGGACATAAACGGCCACGCTGAGTGCCAGGATGACGATGATGAATAGGCCGCCGATAATGCCAGCTGCTATTAGCGGTGTCCTGTAGAGACGAGAGGAAAGAGAGGAAACATTAAAGATGCTGAAACATTAAGGAACTAAAAAAGGGCACTTTGGAAGAAAGTGCAAACCTCAGCCGATGCTGACGAAGTCTCAAACCTGCTGTTATACCCCCAGAAAAGGAAATATTCTTGGCACATTTTGTCCTTTTAGAATCTTTAGCTCGACTGGCTGCAGCTGTGAAAAGTGATGCTGGAAATCTTTGATCAAAATAACCACAAAACTCTAATCAAGTGGCCCATTTCTATCGATCTAAGAGACTCGTTGATACCAATGGAACCAATGGGAAAAAACAAGAGGGAGCTCTTAAAAGAGGTGTTTTCTGCTTGTGTAAGCACTGAGGAGAAGCTTGTCTCAGCTCAAGACAAGTTTTCTTTATGATGCACACTTGAGCAAAACATTTGTTGTGAGGCCATCGAGCACTTGAACAAAGCTGAGCTCTTTTTAATCATCCAATCCAATTCTCCCATCCAATAACCTTCCAAGAGGCCTTGTCACAAGTGTTGGGGCGAGTTCATACAACTTATCAATTCCTTTATCTCTATTTTGCACTCTTTCCAGCATTTCAGGTTATGACTAAAAAACAAGTTCAGACAGAGAAGTCCAGGGCTTCCATTTCCACCACAGTGTCTCCAAATAAGCCAAAGTCACAGAGCACACAGCCATTTTCACAGGTCAGAAGAAGTAGCTTTGAGGTGATGGGGTCCTATTATTAGGTCTGGTGGAGAAGCCACAGCGTGTGCTACACTGGACTGTATTTCCTCATACCAGCCATCATCTCTCCAGACTTTTTGATATCTCGCTTTATTTGAACTCTTTTTAATAATAATGTACCACATGGTCAATAAATGTTTTTTTTTGTTCAAAGTGGGCATCGACAAAATTGCCTTTTAACACAAATGGATAGACCACAACCAAAGCAAGTAAAAAACTGTACAAAACATGGACGTAGCCTCACCGACGTCACTCATTGTTTTTTTAAAATTCCAACAGTGGCGGCCGCCATATTGGAAATGCAATCTCAACCTAATTTTCAAACAATTTAGCCAGAGGCCGAAGGTTGAGCTGAATGTATGGCATGACATCACTCGCCACTCGTACGTTACATGAACTACTGTCCAGGTTGCTTAGCATTCACGCAACAGATTTAGAAAGTACACATTGGCAGGAGCCATCTTGGTTGGAAACGAAAAGTGTCTCAACTGTTGGATTAATCATTGTGATCGGTCGGCCCGTGATCAGGTCGGAGTGTGCGCCATGAAAACATCAACGAGAAGACTGTTTGGTTTGGATCTCAAATTACATTAATTTCATTTCATTTTGAGAACCTTTTAATACAGTCTATTTGATTTTTATCTTTTAATAAAGTCTAGCTAATTCCTCAATATTTGACATGCACTCAAAGACTGAGTTATTGATTCTTGGTGAGTACAGTGAAAGGTATATATGGCATGAAATCAAAAGCTTTCATTTTACACAGTATTCACTTGGCTCCTAATTTGATTTGTGCTGTACGTGGTTTCCGCTCATGATTTATTACTCGATACAACTCAAAATAAATTCAGAATGAAGAGCGCATCTCCTTTATAAATTGCTACTGAATATTCTTGGAGAAAGCCATCTTAAAGCGAGCCCAAAGGTTGGAAGTTAAAAGCTCTCTCCCTGCACTAATAATGGCACTAATGCATCTGCAATTTACATAACCCCTTTGCACTCATGTCTTCGGTGATGCTACCACTCAATCCTGTCCTTCAATACTCTCTCTTCCCCTCTTGTCTTCCCATTTGTATTCCATTTTCACCTTCTTCTTAGCTTGAATCATCTTTGCCCTCTTCTATTTTCCTTCTTTCTTTTTTTTTATACACTCAACAAGAAATAACACCCGCTTCTACCTGATACCTGAAGTTCAAAACTCTATTAGCTGTGGAGGCCATTAGCCGCTAATGGAAGACTCATGTACCAAGGAGTTGTGGTGGCGTGAGGGTGCCTCAGCGTCTGCTGTATCGATTGATACCAACGCAAAGAAAGGGGGTGCTTGAAATTACAAAGAGGCTGTGGGGTTCGACGTAATGAGATATACGACCATGTGGTGAATAGTAATGCGTCAGTTTGGAATGATTAGCTTGAGGCGGGGAAGAGGGACAAGGAGAAATAAAAACAACAACCAGGAGAAGCATATGGGAAGAGGATTTAAAGACAGTAAGGAATACAGGGAAGGTGAACTAACAAAAGGAAAAGAGACGGCAAGAAAAAAAAAAAAACACAGAAAGAAGGTGCTAAGAGATAACAAAAGCAAAAAAAGAAAAGTGTATTAGACAAATAAGAGAGACATTGCTAGGTGAAAGACAAGAAGAATGGCTTCTCTAATTAGGAGGAAAGGGTTTACAAATGAACAAGAGACACAGGGTCACCAGATGACACAGGGGAATAATGGCATTAAAAGAGCAGAAGAAGAAGAGACTCAGCAGAAACCTTCCAGAGGGAGCAAACATGTCTCTTTCCTTTTTTCAAAAGGAGCCCAGGCCCCACTTTTTTTTTCTTTTTTTTTTATGGGTCTGCTTGAATTCTAATGAGTTTGTCACTCTTTTGAATGTGCTCTAGATGTAGAGATCACTCGTTTTTATGGGTTTTCTTAATGGAGTTCTTGTTGTGTCTTCAGGCTATTCGCACAAGCTGCTTGACTTTTTATTTGTTCTACTTGTGCCTGTTTTTTTCTTCCTGTTATTATTCTAGTGGTATGACAACTAGCAGTGATGCTACTTGTAAATACGGAAGTGTTTTGGGTGTTTTTTGTGCCATAGATGTGCTTTGAAAACCTTTCAGCGTGGCTGAGTTGAATGTCCACATGTGAGTCAACTCAGCCATGCCCCAACTAACTCTGATAAAATCAAATCTACGAGTTGTTCAAATGACCACCCCTCCCCCATGCATTGGGTATGAATGAAAAAGCAAGCTATTGTTATACAATTTGAATTTGTACGTGGCTGTAAACATGCTGTAACTGCTTTGAAAGGAATTACAATATGGGGATTAATTAAGGATCCCTAAGGAGCACTTTGGCACCCAGCCTCTAGTGGACAATTGAGGAGCTGCATGATTTTGCACTTCCTTATTAGTTTAACTTTTTTGTTTCTGGAGAAATGATTCAACTCCACCTTTACCACTTCCAATAACAGCAAGTTAATAACAATACGAGTCATTAGCAGTGTTAAATAAAGGTTCCATTGGCACAAATGAACCCCTTACAGTGCCACAAATTAGACCACAGCACAAAAGAACAAAACGATTTCCAATCCTAGCTCAATTATAAAACACATACACTCCCTGCTCTGGTGTTAATGAGTACCATGAGAAACCTTAATAACCAGTAGCACGATCTGATGGCCGTCTCCCAAACCACACACCACAAACACACCCGCTGATTCCTTACCTGTCCATCATCCCGACACAATCTTGGAGCCTCGCCCCGACGCACCTGCAGGGCAGACAAAGCAGAGAGACCATCCATTAAAGCAGGGACAGGTTATGAGTAAACCTCATGTTGTCTTTTTTTCCACGTCAATCAGCTGTCACGGGGCAGGGACCTGTGGAAAATTGAATCCCGAGCACGGCTGACCGCATGTCAGTATGACATGAAAGCATTGTTCATGTTGGTTTCAGGTGATATCTAAATGGATTTTTTTTGGCATGGTGACAGTCCTGCATCACGTGATTCGTCTGGACCTTTTCTAAAAATACATTTTTATACCATTTGTGAAAGCTCAGTCAAAGAAATCTTAGGCACCGAATTCATATCTTTTAACGGTTTTTATCTTCCATCGTTGAGTGAAAGATCTCCAAACTGTCGAATTCAGTGAAAAACATACTCTTTAAGCTGCAATCGCACAGAGTGAGGGTTAGCACCAGCTAGCTGGTTAAGGTAACAAAGCATTTCAAGGTAACAAACTAGAACAACTATTTCATACCTGTAAAGCAGCAAATATCAGAGAGTTATGGTTAGCCCTAGCTAGTTGGGTCTTTACAGCTTGGATGCAGCTTTTTTATTTGTATTTATTTTTTATTTTTTACTTTTTACTTTAAGCAAGGCAATTAGCTTAGCTTAACATTCAAATTGTTAACAGCTCACAGCCCAAGTCCAATTGGAAAATAACACCTAAAAAGCTCAGACAAATGCTGTTTTGTGTGTTGAGCATTGCTTTAGACCACTTTGCACTATCTTTCATTGAAAAGTCCACCTGGGAAGCTGCTTTTGGACAACGCCAGGCAAGTCTTTTCCACCTGTTTCCAGACCTTATGCTAAGCTATGCTAACAGACTTCTATATTTCGCTTTTTTATTTAACAGACACGCATGAAAAGAGTATCAAACTCCTCAAGGAAACAGATCAAGTGTATGTGTTTCCCAACTAGGGCAATGCACACGAGGGACTGGTACACAACATTACCTAACATGACTCTCAGATCTCTGACCACAGAAGTGTGAAAGCATATGGGCTCAGAAACTGCAAAAAGAAATAAACAAACACACGAGTCCAGAGGTCAAAGACGAGTCTAAAGACGAGTCTTCAAAAGCAAGGCGGCTGTTGATCCAAAGAAAATGTGCCCTCTTTATGTACCAACATCCAGGGTTTAGGTCCTCATCCTCTCTTATCTTTTGATGTCAGTTTTTTGCTTTAACTTTGAACTTGAGCCAAGGTTTTTGAAATTTTCTTAAACTACAACTGGGAGTGTATCATCAAGACAGAAGCTAAACAGTGGCGTTACAGGGACTTAAAGCACTGGCTCTTTTTTATCTCAATTGAGCTACATTAGGGTGTCAGGAAGAGGCAGGAAGATTGTTTTTCAAAAGTAAAAAGGGCAAAGAAAGAAGGATGTACAGGTGGTAAAAAGCAAAAGGTAAATCTTCCTCCCGTGACAGCCATTACTAACTCGATTCTTCAAACACGAATCTGTTGTTGGCATGACAACACCTCCAGCATGCCTTGTCATCTTATCCTGCCCTCCAGCAACTGGGTGATCTGGATAAACATCAAGACAGAGGCTGAGGTCGGGTTTGTGATGCTATGAGACAAAGTGAGACATTAGAGTGGTCCAAGGTTAGTGTCAGTGACAGGATGACATCCTCACACCTGCTGGAGAGTCGGTATCTGAGACTCTAAGGAAAATAATCTGAAGCTAAAGCTGCCAGTGAATTCCAGTCTACATGCCACTAAAGGTTATTGTTTCTGGTGGGGTTATTTGCAGCAATTTGAGACTGACATATCCTGCCTCAATTCCTTTTTTGTCAGGCCAAATCTGGACTAAACTATGTTACTCGTGTACACACACTCTCACACACAAAATGCTCAAAAACACACGCCCAGAGACACACACGACATCGGCCACAGGCAATGATTGCTCTCTAATTAGCTATTTGGTGCGCCATTTCATTGACAACGAGGCAACTTTGGAGGAGCCAAAGATGTCACCAGTTTAATTCTGAAGTTAGCCCGTTCTCCTAATTTGCTCAGTAATTTGTTGTGTCTTGTGTGCTCTTGCTGCGTCCAAACACACACACACACACACACACACACACACACACACACACACACACACAGAAAAATACACACACAGGAGCATTCCAAAACCGCTCTCCTGTGTCTATCCTGCTGTTCAAAGCCCTCTTCTCAAGGAGCTTGAATTAATGAGCAGCCCAGAGTGTCGCTCTAATCACTTTCTGCTTACCTAGTGCTAAAAACTTCACTTCTGAGTGATCGTTGGTGCTACGTTTCAGCACGACGTTCCAATGGCTTTGACTGTTCAGGGAGGAAGAAAAGGAAGGTGGCAAGGGTGAACTTTATTTGGAGAAAAGCTGTGTGTGATTTCCTCAGCTGCTAAATCACAGAGAGAAGATCCTTGAACAACAGAGTCTAATAAAAAGTGTTTTTCTTATAGTCTCTGCTTTATTATCACCCTAAGATAAAGCAAGTGAACTTGTTGTCGCTCTTTTATGCTAAGCTAAGTGCTCTGCTAAATAAAAAGAAAAAAAGAAATGGCTCCCTTTGGGTCCATAACCCGGCATCTTTTTCGACTCTTTATGCTAAACTAAGCCAAATGCTTCGCTATTTTACTCTAAATAATCGGCAGAGGGCTGTTTCCACATGTTGTTCTATGCTAAAGCTAAACTAATTTCAATACTACTATCCCCCCCCGCCCCCCTGAGCTTTAGAGGGGAAGTCTTTAACCCTAGCTCAGGTGTATCTATGGGAGCTGGTTTCTTTTTTAACCGCTATGCTAAGGTAAAAGTTTACCTTCCGGTCTTTAAGCTAAGCTTGGCTAATCAATTGATGGAACCAGCTTCGCTAAGAAATCACTGCGCTGTCAGTCTTTTCATTTAACTCCTGATATCTATGCTACATGTAGTTTTTCTACAGAAGCACGCTCAAACCTTGCTCCATATCATCCCTCCAGCTACAGTCTCTTTGCACCCTTTCATTCAAAGTTTATCTGACCGCTGTACTCCCGACCTTCGAGGTCAATGCGTTCTGCCCCTGACCGGAGGGCCTCCAGCAGGCAGCTGTTCGGGGGAAATGTAGCGGCTGCATGATTGAGTCATCTTCTCTCCTCGTCTTTGTAATGCTTTTGCAACATAAAAGCCCCAACACCAAAGGACGCTCAGCAAACTACCAAGGCGTGAGAACACTTAAAAGAAGCGTATTCATTTTCATCCACAGATCTCTCTGCGTGCGTCATCCCCTCTCTTACCCCTGGGTGCAGTTGGCGTGGCACGGGTGACACTCGTTGTTGGCCTTGGCGTACTTGAAGATGAAACTGTTGGCGCCTTGCAACCCGTCGGGGCATTTCTCCACGCAGTTGGGTCCGTCTTTGAAGTGGAGGCATTTCACACACTGGTCCGGGCCCTGAAAGGAGAGGAGAACAAGGAGAGCCGAGATGAGAGGATGGATGGTGGACAAGGGATGAATAAAGACAAGCTGAAGATTGGTGAGGAGGAAAGTTTGAGAAATCGAGAGAGAGGGAAAAATGGGGGGTAAAAGAAACCTGCCAGGACAAAGTACATATAGAGAAAAGGGAATGGGATTAGGCAAGAAGGAGAGAATGGAGATCTAAAAATATGTATGAGACGGGAGAATAGAATTGAGCGGAATCAAATTCAAACCTGCCGAATCACACCAATTTGCCCACTTCCCTACCGCGGCTAATGCAGCTAGCAGGAGCCGCATGAATCCCTCTCTGTGATTCATGATGTGCAGATCAAAATTGCAGGGAGTGTATTCTGCTGCAGCCTCTGTTTAAGACTGGCAACATGCATAAGGAAACAGGTCGTGTCAAAGTACAGCGCATCCAGTGTGATGGAGGAGATGACAAGTGGTAACTGAGCTCGGCTGCAGCTGGATCATGAATAAGTAAGATAGAAAGTAAGTGTGTGTGTGTGTGTACGACGCTGACACGCTTTACGCTTGTTTCTGAAGGAATTAAATCAATGAAAGCGTGATGGAAATGTGCGAACTCTCCATGTGCGTCACTGTGTGTGCTTTGGAGTCTGTTGCTAATAACGAGCGCCCTGACCTGACGGACAGCTCATCACGGTTTGACACATTCGGCCACACGCCATCAATAAACATTATTCTCACTCGGCGCGTTTGTGCGTATGCATGTGCGCGCGCGCGGGGTGGGGGGTGGGGGGGGGGGGGGGGGGGGGGGGCGGCGTCGCATACAGATGTCGGGATGCATTCGAGTATGTCCGCCGATGCCGTGTGCATGTGTATCTGTGTGCGAGAGCGCCTGTGGATGATTGACTCTGGTGTTATTTACTACTCAACTGTGACCAGCATCTCAAAGTCAGCAGCCTCTCTGCATCCTTGAGGAGCCTCTCGCTCGCTCTTCATCACTTATTCTCTTTCTCTCTCTCTCTCTCTCTCTCTCTCTCTTGCTCCCCTCCTCCTTCTTCTGTCTCGAGGGGGGACGGTCATAAAAGGTTACTCATGCGACTGCTGAATTCCACAAAATAAGTCATGCGGCACATTAGGTACAACTTTCTATAATGTAGCACTGCAAATGTATATAAAATAGCCTCCATGTACGGTGGCATGGAAGGCAAACTTTTTCAAACCTCTGACGACCAAATGAAGAAAGAAAGAAGAAGAAGCGATAATAGAAAGCGGAATCCCCGTGCCCATCATTAAGAATCGAGGAATAAATCTCCAAAAACAGGCCACAACTGTTTCTTAAAAAGTCTTATTTGGGCCGTGTTGTTTGAAGTCAATGTTACTCAAAGAGGACAGATTAAATATGTATTTGTTCGGGACTATTTTCTGCTACACATTTGCAGCTAAAGCAAAATGTATTCAACATAAAACTGTTGAAAAACTACTTGTTAAAAACTTTTTTTTAGGTTAAATCTTTGTTTTGTTTTTTCAACACAATCTTGGACCCTATTTCCCCCCCGCATTTTTTGGTGTCAGCAGGACGCAGGAGTTGTTGGTCTACCTCCCTGAGCGCTCGGTTTGTTTGAGTCACTGCATGAGTATCCTTCATCTTGATTCTCGAGGATTGAACTCAGTAACAGAAAAACAAAACTAACCAGTGATACCAGAGGTAGACTACCAACTCCTGTTTGCTGACTGATATTTTTTCTTTTTTCTATGGATTCAGGTTGCTTTGAAGCGGGGGAAGTGGGTAACAACTGTTTCTGGTCTAACCCTAACCCTTCCAAGAAATGGTACAATTTGTGTGGCTATGATACGTTGATGAAGAAGAGGAACAAAAAAAGTACCTACTTCTGACATTTTAAAGGAGAAATTCTTCCTTTTTAGAGTTGTGGTTTGATCTCATCGAAAGACTCTAAAAGTGACTTCACGGGAAGGTCAGAAACTTATCTCATTGAGTATGCAGGCTTGCCAAAAGCATGCTCCAGAAGTAGCCACAGTAGTTTATATTCCTCCCATTAACCTACCATTCACCTCTGCAAACACAGCACTTTATATCTTCTGAAATCCCGCACGCAGGACCGATAGACTCCCACCAAAAGAAGTTAGAAATCCACTTCAGCAAAGACGAGATATGAGGCTATCTCGCTCAGAAAAATGAGGGGTATTTTTTTTTTTTAATCTAAGCAGAGAAAAGTTTACCTCCATGTACCATTTACGTGAAGAGGAAGTTGAGTCTCCAGTGGCGCCTTACCTGGCCAAGACATGTCATGGCGTTCCCATCCATCTTCTCACACTGCCCATCACACTCCAGGCACACAGATCCATTGGCAAATTCTCGACTATCCCTGAAAGAGATAGGGAAATTGAGATAGAGATGCATGTATTATAGATTTGAGAGCGTAACCACGTTGAA